CAGTACACTAGCACCAAACAATTTTTCCAGAATTAAAACTATAATTATTATAGGAACCTATATTATTTCATTAATTGTATCATCCAACTATATGTAAATGCATTTGTTCTACTAAAAAGAATTGAGCAATATTCTACCATACATTATGTTTCCAGAACTCTACATATTAGCCAAGTATCAAGACAACTTGTGAATTAAGTGCTTCTATTAAGTGTTTCTTAATATTCTAATAAGACTGCTGAATCTCAGTTTGGATCAATGTTCAAGACCAAAGACCTTTTAAACAGATGAACCAAAACTTCACAACCAAAGATGTCAAAGATGTCTCTATGGATCACTTACTTTCTATCTTTCCCATGACTGCTCAACTTTGCTCATTCCTCTGTGTTTTATCACCTTATTTGTAACAAGATACTGCTAATTGCTAGCTTTTCTTTCATATGGTTGAAGATCCTCTTTCTCCAAACAGGGTTACATTTCATGTACAAACTGAAAATTCTCAAGATTATGACTTTGACAATTTGAGTAGCTCTTTTGCTCTATTTCATCTTGATTTATAATATAGCCACAGCTGTGAATCTTTAAGTTTATTTTAAAACTAGAGGCCTGGTGCACAAAATTTGTGTACTGGGAGAGGGGGTTCCCTCAGCCTGGCCTGCACCCTCTCACAGTCTGGGACCCCTTGGTGGATGTCCACCTGCCAGCTTAGGCCCGGGCCTAAGACAGCAGTCAGACATCCCTCTCAGAGTTCAGGGCTCTCGTTCCTTACCACCTACCTATAGAGGAGGGAGTATAGGCTCCCAACACTGCTGTTGCACTTGCCAGCCATGAGCTGGCTTAAAACTGAGCAGCGCTCCCCTGTGGGAGTGCACTGACCACCAGGGGGCAGCTCCTGTGTTGAGTGTCTGCCCCCTGGTGGTCAGTGCACATCATAGTGACCGGTCATTTTGGTCATTCCACCATAACGGTTGCTTAGGCTTTTATTATATAGATGATGATCATCATACCTTAGGATGGAAAACTCAGCAATAATAAGAGTGGTGAAAAAGTGTCAATGGAGATACAAATTGATTCATTTGTAGTCCTTTATTAGATAGATAAGTGTTATCATCTATACTAATAAATGGGCAATATGCTAATTAGACCAGATAGACCGGACGTCATTTTGGACGTCCTTCCTGACAAAGCCAGGGGCGAGGCTGGCCTGCAAACTGCCTGCAGCCCCTCGCCCAGGCCAGCCCTGCCCCCGTTGGGGACCCCCAGCCTGATAGGGGGCATGGCAGGCCTGCAAACCACCCTACCTACCCTCACCCTGCCTGGCTTCTTCCCCCAGTGGGGACCCCCAGCCTGATCAGGGACATGGTCAGCCTGAAAACTGCCCACGGCCCCTCGCCCAAGCTGGCCCTGCCCTGATTGGGGACCCACATCCCGATATGGGGTGTGGCAGGCCTGCAAACCGCCCTCCCCTTGGCCTGTCCAGCCTTGCCCCACAGCGGGGACCCACACCCCAATCGGGGGTGTAGCTGGCTTTCAAACCCACAGTGGCTCCAAGCCCAGGCCAACCCCACCCCAGTGGGGACCCCCACCCTGATCAGGGGTGGGGCCAGCCTGCAAACCCTGCGGCTCTTCGCCCCGCCAGCCCCTCCCCCATTGGGGACCCCCACACCCCAATCCAGGGCCCCCTTTAGGGCAGGCCAGCCAGCCCCCAGCCATGCACCAGGCTTCTATTCTATATAATAAAAGGGTAATATGCAAATTTACTCTAATGGCAGAATGACTAGAATGACCACCAGACCAGTCACTATGAGGTGCACTGACCACTTTTTGGTCCCTTTTCCCAGCCAGCAGGCTCCAATCACCTGATGGCTACCCGCGGCGGGGGCAGGGCTGGCACGCGGGCAGGAACAGCTGACCTCTCAGTCCCTTTCCCTGGCTGTCAAGTACCAATCACCTGATGGCGAATGGGGAACCAAGGGTGGGTGGTGGCAGGGGGCAGGGATGGATGCGGGCAGCTGGGGAAGATGGCCCTGATTGCATACCAGGCCTAGGGACTGTACCCTCACATGAATTTCGGGCGCCAGGCCTCTAGTCTATAATAATAAAAGCTTAATATTCTAATTAGACCAGACAGCTGAACAAACTTCCAGATGACCTTCCAGATGAAGCCAGGGCTGTAAGGGCCAAGGCAAGGCGGGGCTGCGAGGGCCAAGCCCCTTGCACGAATTTCGTGCATCAGGCCTCTAGTTTATAATATTTGAGGAAATTACAGATATACCTAATAAAATCAAATGTAGTTAGTTTACTTCATATGTTTACCAAATTTTCATTCACATTATTGAATGAGAGAAAGTTATGAAACACAAACTTTTAAAAAAAATCTGTAAGCTAAAAATATTTTCTTTACTTCTCAGCTTTTGTTAGCAAACATATTCTTATGATATTTTAAACATAATATTGAAACACTTTTCACTAATTTATAAATAAATTAATTCCATTAAAATATAATTGCACCTGAAAGCTCTAATTTAATAGGTAATACACAAATAAGGGAGAATAATATAGTAACTTAAAAGGGATAGAGTATAACATTTTTAAGAAATGTTTATGTACTGACTGAATTTTCCATTTCTTCAATTATGAACTACAACAATAATCATGCAGGTGAGCTGGGTGACTTTCCTTAGTCCCCAGTTGTTTAAGATAGGAAGGAAAATAAGCATTAGACTTACATTCAATGTCAGTGATACTACTTTTTTCTATATTAAATAGATAGTATGTGTTGACTAACTTACAAAATACATTTCTTTCCATGCATATTGGTGTCATTTGAAAAACACCTTTACCTTTTCCTTCATCATATTGGTGTCTTTTCACTATTGGTTAAAACAGTGTGTGTGTGTGTGTGAGTGTGTGTGTGTGTGTGTGTGTGTTTCTTTGAAGTTTGTTCACTTGTGCATTTATTTCAGGGAGACTAATTATTTTAGCATTTCTAATGTCCATAATGTAAAGTTCTCAAAAAATCAAAGGGAACATATAAATAAGTGAATTTACTTGAAAAATATAAAATTGATTTCATTTTACTTAACAGGCTGGCTAAAATGCAATAGGCAACATTTCAAGATACACATGAACAAATATAAAAAGAATGTTGTTAAACACTCCATTTAAAATAAAACACTTTTCTCTTAGTCATATATATGTCAGACTAGAGAAGATGAACACTTTTCTAGTTAAACACCAACACTGGTTATTTTGTGGGGAAATGCATTAAGTTTATTGTTAGTGATTTTTTATGCAATACCTTTAACTTCTGTAACTTTAGGACCTGGCATAGTCCCATATATATAGCAGGTGCTCAATGACTATTTGTTAAAGAAGGACACCATAACTGATTAATGGCTATAAGTAGGTCTTTAAAATAAAAATTCAAATCAACATGTTTCCCTCCTTTTCTATCAAGTTGATTTGATTGTACAATTGGAACTTAATATTATTTAGATTTTGTTAGTATGGATTAATTATATTTAATTTGAATCACTGTTTGTAAAAATCTTCAAAAATTATAAAGCAAAGTAGAATTTTAGATAGCTTTCATTTTATAATCATACAGTATTATTTACCATTTCCTTCATCTTTATTTTTTTCTTCCCACTTTTATGTAAATTGCTTTTAGAAATATCTTAAACTCTTCTCACTTGTACATTTAACTCAAATACAATTTATGTAGTAACCATTAAATAAACAGGTATTTTTGACAAGTTATTGCTACTATCATCAAACTTTGCTATCAATCCTTTAGCTATTAATCTTGTACATTGTATAGTATAGTTGACATGACTATTAAAATTAGCAATTATCAAATACAATTTTTTGGAACAAGAGAAAAAAATACTATGATAATTGCAAAGTGAAAGCTGGCAACTCGTTTTAATATTGAGAACGAATAAAAATTTCAAGAAAACCAGATAGTGTAATTGAACAAGCTTTACAAGTGAATGAAAATAATTCAAAGCCTGCCCTTGATACAGCTTTAATTACATATATATTAATGTAACATCCTCATGATTTCAAGTTAAATTGTCAAGTTTAATACATATTAGTATAGCCAACATGACAAAAAACATATATAAAAAATAAAAAAACAGACTTAAGACAAATTTTCTCTGAATGCTGTTTATGCAGAAATAAAGTTTAATGTGTTTTTTGTAATGCACTCAACTCTTTATTTCTTTATCATTTGCTAACCACTTAATGACTGCTCAGGAATGCTTTTTTTATATTTCTGAACCATATGTAATTATTTTTTTGTCCTTAAGGATTATTTCAATTTCTTTAAGGTTGCTATCCTTGAGGCAAAAATGCTTATTAATAAACTGATACCAGAAATTACTCCTGGAGCCAATATCAAATACTACCATCCTGGAAACTCTGGAACATTTGCTTTAGAACATTATACTAGAATAAGCAGATCCACTCAGCAAATTATTTTAGGGTAATAGGTTGAATATTTGCTTAAAAGTTCTATATTTTTTTATGGTTTATAATGACCATAGATTATGTCAAGTTTAGAACAAATTCAACACTAGGCATTTTAATCTGGTTACAGAAAAATAACAGTTCTTTAACATTAAACTAGAACCTCAAAAAAGCAAAAGTTATCTCTGCATCCTTGAACATGTTATTTCTTTGTCTGCATTGAAAAGGCAAGGCAAAAAAACATTGCCCCATATTCAGATTTTAAATTTGCTCAATGCTGTAGAACTATATATGTTTTTAACCTATATTCTGGAATATTTTCATAATAGTCATAAGTGACACTAAAAATTAAAATATAACATTTGTCTTATATTCTATTCCAATCATCCTAATTGATTGTAAGTTAGGTGATTTACTTACTTATTATTAAGTAAAATTGGATCTTAAGTTTTCTACCCCTTAAAAAATCCCTTAAAGCTCCATTAAATGTGTTTTCCAGGCCATAACAAAGAAGGATACTGTACCTCTTATGCTCTTGGTTGTTGCAGAAGTGGTTGGGCTGGTTGTTATGGCTACAGTGGTTGTGACTGTTGCAGTGGTAAGGGAGGGGATGATAGTAGTGGGAAGCAAAGTGTTGGGAACATCTGGTGAGTGGAAAAAAACAAAATATAAAACAAAATCATATCATGCAAACAAAAGACAAACTCAAATGATTCAAATTACAAAAATACATACATCTTATTTGGGTTTAACATTAACAAGCTTTAACAAGATTATCAGGTACAAAGCTGGCTGTACCTCACAGTTCTTGCCATTTTTTGTTCACTTTCATTTCATGCTCCTACACAAAGTAAAAACTCGGAGCAATGTTTGAGAATAAACAGATTGTTCATAATATTTAGAGTGAAATTTAAAGTGACAAGAATTCATTTGTTCACTGAGTCATTTAAAAAGTTGGACATGCAATAACAAAATACAGATAGGTAAAACAAAAAATGACATGCTTTGTCGAAGACATAAACAAAGAAACAACACCACAGAACTAAACACAAATAACATCACCATATAAGGTTAAAGAAATGTTATGGATGGGTGAGTATATGCATGTTAAAGGCTTTTTTATTTTTTTCATTTAAGAAAACTTAATGATAGGAAATAAATAGGATGAGAGCGATCTTTAGAAACAAAAATAAGCCAATTGTTATTATATTACTTTATTTTTCCTTTTCTCACAAATGATGTTAATGCACATTTGGAGTCTTGCAATTCTTACCCTGATTAGCTGGTAACGCCTTCTAAAATTTTGCAGTACCTAGAAGTCTTTAACAAGTATTGAGTCAACTAGCATGAAACCCAATATTCTGAAAGGTTTATGATTTATTTTATTTGGCATACCTAGGAGAAGTTATTGAACATATACTTGAACGTAACATTCAACCCTTAATCTGTAATTAGTAAAAGTTGCCAAAGTTAACAGTAGATCCAAATATAGGGAACATACTAAACAGAATAAATACCTCAGAGTTTAAAGCCAAAATTGTACTTTCTGTCACTCAAAATGAGCTGAAAATTTGAAGAGCAGCATAGAGTATCGTAAAACAATATAGCCAGTGTCAAACTGTGGGGACCGCAATAAGATCTTCAGAGAGTCAAATCTCGTCTCAAGTGGATAGGCATATCATTTACACAGTAAGGAAATTAGAAACAGTTCACAAATTACCTATAATTACAGTGCCAGGATTTGATTTTACATGTTTTCCACACAGCCCCGATGTATTCAGAGTGTTTGACAGATTATATTGCTATTAACAGGCTTCCTGTCAGTCTTTCAATTAAAGTCTTTGAGTCACACCAAAATTTTTCTACTTCTTTGCTTCTGATAAATAGCCCTACTGGATACTCAGACTTTAACCTGATGAATTATCTACTCTGGAGACACAGCAAAGCACATGAGATCACTCTCTTATCTTCCTGGCCAGTCAAATTTAAGACAATAATCTTCTGAAAACTCAGTGTTACTACATTAATCACCACGGAAAATGAGTATTTCCTGGAGTGTGATTATCATGGTCATAAAGTAGAACTGACTTTCATCATAAATGAATAAATATTATGTTTATGAGCATGGTCATTTCTTGTTTACTATTTTTTACAGTACCGTCTTATTTTATTTTTTAGCAAAGATTTTTCTTCCTCATAGGAGGACATGTCTTTTATTGATGAGAGAGAGAGAGAGAGAGAGAGAGAGAGAGAGAGACAGAGACTGATGTGAGAAACATCAATTGGTTGCCTCCTGCACCCACCAGACCAGGGATTGAACCTACAACATTTTGGTGTAAGGGAGGAAGAATGTTCCAACCAATTGAGCAACCCGGCCAGGACAATAACTTATTTTTTCATTGTTAGCTTTCCTAAATAGTTTATAAAGGCTAAAGGTAAATGATATATGTTTTGTAAATTAAAAAAAGAACATGAATTTAATCTTCATATATTGTCCAAAATAAAAATATATATTCTTCATCTACTTATTTTTTAGGATCTTAAAATATATGTATTTAATTAATGCAAAGGGAAATAGTTCCCAGGGCTATCAAATGTAAAAATCCTATATAATAACAGCATATATGCAAATTGACTGAACAGCCGAACAGTGGAACGACCATCCAGAAAACCATCCGGGAGCACGCTATGACACCCACTGGTGCCAGGCCAGCCAAGGCAGGTGCGATGCAATCGGTCAGGGGCCCGGCCATCGCATGATCACCCCCCAGAGGGAGGCCCAGGCCACCGACCAGTGGGCTGCAGCAGGTGGGCGGGACCTCTCTCTGCGAGGGAAGCTGGGTCCTGGGGGCAGGCAGCCAAAGGGAAGCCAGTGCTGGCAGCTAGGAAAAGGAAGGCCTTCTCTTGCACAAAGTTCATGCATCAGGCCTCTAGTATACAATAATATTAGTTCTTTAAAACTTCATGTAAATAACCTTATTATAAATTATCAAAAATTGGGTTTTCTGCTATCAGACAATGAGTTAAAATGATTCCACTGGATCTGAAAAGCAGCCTTTCAAAATTACTTTAACAAAGAATTGAAATACAAATAACGGGTTTTGCGTTGTTTTGTTTTGTTTTTAGTTTAGCCAAAAAAAACCCCCAAAAATCAACAGCATGTGATTTGGTGTTTTTGTCCTTATTCCATATCAACTAAAATAGGTAATAATAAATCCTGATTTGTTTTGGATAGAGTCTATATTACCAAGTATTATAAGCATTCTTGTATAAGTCACAAAATATCCTTATTTGCTAAAATTGTGAAAATGCATGGAATATATGCATTTTTCTAGGCTAATTTTCAAAGAACTTAAAAACAACAGGTTGTGGTTTTAAAGTGTCCAAATAAATGAGATAACACTACAAATTATTATTGACTCATAGTCTGGCTCCTCCTTATCTGTTCATCATCCTCTCTCATACTCCCCTCGACTTCATATATACATAAAAACTAATAGGCTGAAAGTAATTTGGTGCAAAGCACCTTGGCTGATATGACAACTGGATCAAGACAATAACCTGTATAAGAAATATTTCCCAGTAACTGTTATATATTTTGAATCACCATTACTTCATTTCATCCTATGTGTTCTAAAACACTTTAGATCAGTGATGGCGAACCTATGACACGCGTGTCAGAGGCGAGACGCGAACTCATTTTTTTGGTTGATTTTTCTTTGTTAAATGGCATTTAAATATATAAAATAAATATCAAAAATGTAAGTCTTTGTTTTACTATGGCTGCAAATATCAAAAAATTTCTATATGTGACACGGCACCAGAGTTAAGTTAGGGTTTTTCAAAATGCTGACACGCTGAGCTCAAAAGGTTCACCATCACTGCTTTAGATAAATTGATTTTTTAAAAATATCTTAGGGTTTCTTAATTCTGTTTTTTTTTTCTGCATATGGATGTTCACTCAAATATTTCAACCCTGTTATGAAAAGCAAAAGTTAAATAAACTAAATATTCAACACCCAATTAATCAGCATCAACTAAAACTCAACAACATAAGATTAATTGGAATTAGTTGAAACCCTCAGAAATAACAAGAATATTATATGATACTCCTCTTCTATGAAAACTTTCTAAATGCTCTGAGTGTGTTGGATTCCCCACCTGACAATTTCTGAAGAGAAGAATTTTTCATACTTATTGTTGAGAACCTAACACAATTTAGAAGGTCAATAAACATTTACCAAGTGAATTTGGTCATAGCATTACAAACATATACACATTTTATGGGATCTAGAAAAGTCTATATTTTTGACAGGGTATAATAATTAATATAGAACTGAAATATTTCATTACTTCTGTTCAAAAAATCCTTCTGTCTTCAATATAGACTGGCCATCATTTTTTTCTGAGGGATAAAATTTCAAGACAAATTATTCCGTCAAGAAATTTCCTTGCTAACAAAATATACCTTTGCTCACACATCCTGCTACTTTGGAAGCAGTGTGAGCCTGATCTGAGATCCATGTTCTCCATTCTTCTTATGCACTATATTCATTTTAAGGGTGAAAGGCCAGGAGGGCTCACTAAACAGATCCTATTGTCATCAGTGGTGAATGATCATAGCAAATTTATGAGTTGTTTATTATTTTCCCCATTAATGGATAAAACAACTTTGAGATAGAATTTCTTTGTCTCTACATAGGTGTTTGTTATATATGTGTATACATGTTATACGTGTTATGTGTGACATATATTATATTGCTAAGATAATATTTTATTTACTTTGTATAAATCAGATTCTTCTACAACACTCCCATATGGAGATCATTTATTTTAGCTGCCTGATTGTAACTCTTCTCAAATCAAATGTTAGTAAAAGACTGTGCTCTCTTCCTAAGTTTAAATGCCCATCTCTGGTTTTCATTCCTAGAATTGAGTGGCAATATTTGGCATCATTAACAATTGTTTAAAAATTCCTGATTTCATGTATTCACTTTTGGCCTTTTATTTAAACACTGATTGTAAAATTGGAGCTACCTATTTTTTAAATATGAAATTGGGTACACTAGTACTAGTCACTTGCCTCATTTTTGATGTATCTGGAATCCTGGATCTTTTTTAGAAAACATTACACTGTTAATACAAATAATTCTCAATCAAATAGATATGTTATAAAACATATGTCATTTTTTCTTCTAATACCCATTTTTATTTTTCCAATAAGAATATTAAATTTATATGCAGAAAAATTATACATGTAGACACTAATAAAAATAACCAAACCCTAGTTCAACATTAACTTACTAATTCTGTTTAAAAAGCAAGATAATCTGCAGCCATATTAATAAGTGATTTGCTCACTATGACTTGTCAATTTTAGAAGTTATTAATATATTATTTACATATTAACATCCTATGATTAAAGAATGTTTGAATATAGATACTAAGATACATATAAATAAAATAGAGAAGGTAATGATATGTAACAATTTATAAATATTAAAATTCATAAATGGTAACTATTTAATAGGTCAATAAATTCAGTTCTCATTTTCTCTATAATACAAAACCTGAGTTCTCATTTTTATTGTTGCTTTCCTTGGAGTATGTGTTAATAAAATACATTACATTTTCCTAAAATAAA